TCTTTAATCTTTCAATTAAAACTTGCATATGGTCTGAGATTCAGTTCATTTTTAAAAACTTCTCCCACAGTTTTTACTATCTAGTTTTCCAGTATGAATTTTTGAATCCTTTTCTTGTTCCACTTCATGCACCCAGAACATTTGTCATAGATTAACTGTCCAGAGGTCTGAAGAATTATTTTTGGGCTCTTAACTTTATTCCAGTAATCCGAGAGTCCATTTTTATGCTACTACTACATGGTTTGATTTTATAGCCTTATGGTATAATTTGAAGTCAAGAAATGCAATATTGCTATTTTATTTTTTCCCCTTAGGAATGATTTGGCTATTTAAAGAGTTATATGGATCCATATAAACTATAGTAAATTTTTTTCTAGAACCTCGAAAAATGTCAACAGCATTTTAATGGTAATTGCATTGAATTTGTATACTACCTTGGGTAGGAGGGCTATTTTGAGAGTGTTAATTCTTCCGACTCATTAATAATAATTTCTACTATCATCTTCTATTCCTTTCAATAGTGACATATAGTTTTCACTATATAAGTCTTTTACATCATTAATGAGTTGATTCCCAGGTATTTAATGATTTTAGAAACTATTTTTAATAGTGTTGTTCTTTTTATGTTCTTCTCTTCCAGATAATATTTAGTATATAGAAAGGCAAAGGATTTTTTCCCCTGCTATTTTTTTATAATAGTTTTTTGTTTCTAAGTCTTTTTGTGGATTCGTTAAGGTTTTATATGTATATTCTATCATCTGCAAATAGTGATAGTTTGACTTAATATTTTCCAGTTTAGATCCTTTTATTTCTTTTTTTTTTTTGTCTAATTACTGTGGTAGAGGACTTTTAAACTATGTTCTGTAGGGAATTTGTGTGGAGTATCACATTGGTAAATGCAGAATGTAAACATTTGCAGATCAAAATAAAATATATATTTACTCTCTCACAAATACTTTTGTTCCAGGCTAAACTCAAATTGAACCTCAATTTTTCAAAGCTAAAGATATCCATAGAAATTACTTTATTGTTGAGTAACTGGTCAGAGACTATTTCTAAAAAAAATAGTTGAGTTTTGAAATGCCAAGGCATATTTGTACTTCTTTTTGTAAAGGAAACATAGTCCTAGCCCATAATTAGATGAGACCACTTACTCTACTTCTACCTCATGATAGGGAAACCATGTTTACACCTGAATTTAAGGGAACTTGGGATGCCTATTGTGTTAAATGAAGAGAATCAGAGATTTGTGTTGCAGTTGTGTGTGAACCAAGTTGTGCTGCTACAGAATCTAAAGTGCTTTGGTAACCAGTGCCACAGTCCTCTCCAATTCTCCAGCGTGTAACAGTTAGTCATACTGTTGAAGAAAAGAAACTGCCAAACACTGTCCTCCCGTTGTTCATCGATTTGCTTGAGCGGGCCCAGTAATGTCTACATTTTGAGACTTGTTGTTACTGTGTTTGGCATCTCGAATACACCACAGGGAGCTTGTCAGTCTCTGCCGTACGGGCAGGATACTGTTGGTAGCTTGCCGGGCTCTCTGAGAGGAGCAGAGGAATCGAACCAGGCTTGGCCGGGCTGGCTGTGCGCAAGGCAAACGCCCTACCACTGAATGATCTAATGTTTTTCTCATTGCATCATCTTGTTCTTGTCAGAAGAATGTAAACATACACATAAATAGGGGTGATTTTCTTTTTCATCTCAAATTGGCACCCATAAACAAGGTTGCCCTGAAATTTATATCTCTAGCTACATAAGAAATACATTTATCTATTTTCCCCAGTGTTTTCTTTTTTCTTACTAAATTTTTTAATTAAAATTTTTCACAAATATCTGAGTCACCAGGCTGGAACAGTAGCACAGTGGTAGGGCGTTTGCCTTATGCTCAGCGAGCCCTACTGAGCCAGGTTCGATTCCTCTGCTCTTCTCAGAGAGCCTGGCAAGCTACCAAGAGTATCTCGCCCACGCGGCAAAGCCTGGCAAGCTCCCCGTGATGTATTCGATATGCCAAACACAGTACCAAAAAGTCTCAAAATGGAGACGTTAATGGGCCCGCTCGGGCAAAATCAATGAAAAACGGGAGGACAGTATTTGGGCTGGAACGATAGCACAGAGAGTAGGGCGTCTGCCTTGCACGCAGCCAACATGGCTGACCTGAGTTCGATTCCTCCGCCCCTCTCGGAGAGCCCAGCAAGCTACCGAGAGTATCTCGCCCGCACAGCGAAGCTTGGCAAGCTACCCGAGAAGTATTCGATATGCCAAACACAGTAACAACAAGTCTCACAATTTGTTGTGAGATGTTACTGGTGCCCACTCGAACAAATCCATGAACAACGGGAGGGCAGTAACGGTGATCTTAGTCACCATAATTTATCATTTTACAACACTGTCAATGATGGGGTTTCATGAATATGCCATTTCAACCCCACACCCATCACCAACATGTCTGCTTTCCTCCACCATTGTATCAATATTCCTCCTACAGTAACCTCAATACTCTTTTTTCCATTCTCCCTCACACCTCACTGCCATGATGAGATAGAATCCAAGTTGTGAAACAAGTTGTTAGATTGTGTTATTTTAGGCCTTTTATACCCCACATATGAGAGAGATCGTTCTCTGTATCCTGATGAAATTCACTAAGCACGGTATGCTCCATTTTTCATCCACATAGTGGCAATATTGTATGATGTTATATTTTCTTAAGCTGAGTGGTATTCCATTGTGCATATGTGGTATAGTTTCTTTATGGAGTCATCTGTTCTTTGACACAAATTGTTTCCAGATTTTTGGCTATTATGAGTAGTGTTATAATGAATATAGGAGTGCTAATGTCTTCACTGATTAGAATTTTTCAATCCTTGGGGTAGATGCCCAGATGTGGAATCGCTGGGTCATAAGGAAACTCAGTTCTTAGTTCTTTAAGGAGTGTCCAGATTATTTTCCAAAAAAGGATTAAATAGTCAACATTCTTACCAGCAATAAATGAGAGTTACTTTTACCTCATATCAATACCAACTCTAGTTACCTTGTTCTTTATAATGTGTGACAGTGTCACTGGACTGAGGTGATATCTCATTGCTGTTTTGATTTGCATTTCCCTAGTATAAAGGTAAAAAAGGTAAAGGCCATCCCGTTGATCATCGATTTGCTCGAGCGGGCCCAGTAACGTCTCCATTGGAGACTTTGTTGTTACTGTGTCTGGCATATCGAATACTCTCGGTAGCTTGCCGGGCTCTCCGAGAGGGGCGGAGGAATCGAACTCGGGTCGGCCATGTTGGCTGCGTGCAAGGCAAACGCCCTACCCGCTGTGCTATCGCTCCAGTCCCTAGTATAAGTGATATAAATAATTTTTATATACCTTTTGTGCATCTGCATGTCAGCTTTAAGGAAAATTTAGTTACCTTTTATCCCCCTTTTTTGATGGATGATTATTTTTTCTTGTTAACTTTTACAAATACGTTATGGACTTTAAATATTAACCCTTTGTGAGATGAGTGATGGGAAAATATTCTCTACATCTATAGGTTGTCTTTACTCTGGTCACCATTGTTTTTGTGGTGCAAAAGCTTAATTTGATGTAGCCCCAATTGTTTATCTTTGCTTCTGTTTGCTTGGCCAGTGGCTTTAGATCATTGCGGATACCGCTAGATTTAATTTCAAGAAGAGCTCTGCCTGTATATTCCTCAATATAATTTATAGACTGAGATCAGATATTGAGGTCTTTAATCCACTTTAATTAACTTTTTTGCATGGTGTTGAAAAAGAATGTGAGTTCACTTTTTAAAAAATTTTACATTTGACTGACCAGTTTTTTTGACACCATTTGCTGAGGACACTATTCTTTCTCCACTTTCTCTAGCTCACTTGTAAAAATTAAATGACCCTGTACCCAAGGGGCAATTTTATTATTATGAATTTTTAGTATAATTTCAAGTTACAAAGACAAAAGCTTTCCATCTTCTTTCTTTCCTAGGATTGTTTTGGCTAGTATGAATTTTTCAGCATTTGGTCTATGTTTTTTTTTAAATGCCATGAGTATTTTTATAGAATTGCATCAAGTCTGTGTATTTCTTTTGGGTATGATTGTCATTTTGACAGAATTATTCCTTCAAATTCATCAACAAGGGATGTGTTTCTATTTCTATATGTCTTTTTTTATTTTTTCAGCTGATTTCCAGGTGCTTAAATTTCTGAGATACAGTTGTGAAATAGTGAATGGTATTTTTTTAAATTTCTCTATTTTCTGTTTTGCTATTTTCATATAGGAATGCCATACATTTCTGTATGTTGATTTTGTGGCTTATATTACTGTATAAATTTATTGTTTCTAGGAGGGTTTTTTTGTAGAGGTTGTCTAAGAATAGTACCATGTCATCCATAAATAGTGATAGTTTTCCTTCTTTTCCAAACTAATGATCTTAATATCTATGTTTGCTTCATTGCTGTGACCAGAACTTCTCACACTGTATTGAATAATAATGGTATGAGTGGATACCCTTGTCTTGGGCCTGGAGAAGCTCATGTCTTAGGTATAAGAAGCAACATTTGGAAGTAGCAATAATTGTATTCTGACTATATGCTCTACAAATAATGTGAGCTGCAGATCACATTAGTTGTAGTTTGAAATCTGTGTTGTAACATTCTTATCAGTACAATTGATTCCATCTTAGAAATGTTTTAGGATTTATAGGTGAATAACACCTATAAATGTCTCTTCAAGAATGTGAACACCTTCAACTCAAATATGCTTTGAGTAAATTAACTTAGATGATGTAGAACCACTTAGTGTGGGTTTTTAAATTTCCATGTTGATTTTGTCCCTAACCAGGATCCAATCATTAAAAAAAATAGACTGAAAAATATGTGTACAAATGTCTCAACCTTAATTGGTGGTGTGTTATTTGATAAGGTATTGAAATATTTACTTAAACAAATTTTCTATGTTGTTTTGATTAAATTAATAAAAAACAGTAAATTTGTTACTTATATGCCCTTAGATTCACATGATGCAGTTTTAAGATTTAACTCTGCTCCTACACGTGGCTATGAGAAAGATGTTGGAAATAAAACTACTGTGCGCATCATTAACTCCCAGGTAAGACAGATGGTGTAAAACTCACAAATAAACATCTTATCAACTAATAACTTATGATCTTGTTTCTCCTTTTTATTTTGTCATATGTATGAGTGTGGGCCATACCTAGGAGTGCTTAGAGCTTCTCCTAGCCGAATGTAAATCTAAACAAACCAGGTTATATTAGATAAATGGATACAGTGTGTGTGTAGTCATTCTATCAAGAACTTGCTGCTTTTGTGTAGAGAGGAAAACAGTTAACCTTAGGAATTTTGACGTTGAGAAAGACAGTGGAAGAAGAGGAGAAAACCAAAGTTATTAAATCTGAGAGATAGTAGAGAAGCTTGGAAACTTTAGTCTGTTTGAAATTTTAAAAATGAAAGTAGAATGTTCATTTAATGCAAAGTGTTAGATCAGGGAGATAGTTCAAAGGATTGAAGCTTATACTTTGCACTCCGGAGGAAGCCTGGCTTTTGTCCCTGGCACTGCACAGTCCCCTGAACTTCACTGGAAGTAACCCCAGACTATACCCAATGTGGCCCAAAGACCAAAGAAAAAGAAAGGGAAAAAATCAAAAAAGAAAAAAATCTGTTTTCTTTGTGTTCTAATTAAGAATGTTCCTCAAATTTATAACAAATCACTCTCAAAATACACCCAAATCTCTAGCATTTTAAGCCATAAAGAAAAAGAAGGTGATGAGTGATTTATGTTGAGTTGTTTGCGGAATGAAAGATTAGTTCAATGTGAGGTTGCCTGAAGTAGGCAGCTTGCTGCAAGGTAAAAAATAATTATCATTAACTGAAAGGTACCCTGGGAGTGATTAAGAACTGGGATGCATTAGCTACTCAATAGGATTCAGTTTATCTTTTTTATATCTTGTCACACTTTACCAGTCCTCAACAGTGAGCGCTTCAGTTTTTAAAGAAAATTTTTATTTTACTTTTCCTGAGGATATGAAGGGAATCCTTGGGCCTGGACACCAAGGAGCACAAGTTACAGGGTAATAAAAGACTTATCAGTAACAAAACATTTTATCAAGAGCAAAGCAAAAAGTCTATTAAAGTTTAAATTTACTGGCTAGGTTTGACACAGTCAAGGCCATCCTGGAGAAAAGCTTAAATTAAGTTTAAATGATCTCTCTGAGCTTGGGAATAAAGAGATTACAGCAGGTAACTTCTCCCAAGAGTATCTTGTCAAATTTTCCCAACTATTGACCTTAGGCCAGTCTGGTTTAACTTGCTTAATCCCAGGGAGCCCCGTAGGTTCTGGAGGAAAGAGAATGAGCCAAGGTAGATTTCTTGTCTGATTAACTCCTGTCTCCTAAGACACTGCCCTTTTACCAATTGTCTTTTTAGCTCTTAGGCTCTCCCGTTTTAAACAGCAACCTGTGGTGAGTCCATCAAAGCTCAGCATGGGATTCATAGGAATATCAATAAAGCCAAAACTGGAGCACAACTGAGGGTTCAAGTTAATATGACAAACTTAAAGGATTTATGAAAAAAATTACTATCAGGGTTCAACCCACATCACTGGCATTTTGGGATTGCTTAATTACTCTTTTTTTTTTAATTTGAAAGTATCCAAAGAACAACGTTGTTACCTGTGAGTATTAAAATTCTTTAAAAAAAAAGTCCAGTTTTCCAGGAAAATTCAGTAGTCCACGTGGGTGTCTGCCATCAGTGTCTTTAGATGGTGATATGTGAACATGAGGGTGTTAGGCTGGCCACAGGATTTTGCCTGGTGAACTGATATGGCAACTAGAGAACCAGGATGAACAATAACATGTCACCAGCATAGTCATTACTAAGGGTGAAGTGAAAACACTTGAAGTGTCCAGCAGTGAAGGCTTTTTCCTTTCCCAGTTAAAAAATGGCAGCAAAGTCTAAACACAGTTGAAGGAAAGGTCTTTCTCCAAGAAGCACGCTGGCCATCTCTAGTAGAGAAGAGCCTTTAAAGATTTGTAGTTTTCTGTGGCATTAATGGCATGGGCTTATAAAGAAGCTCTTTCTTATTTAGGGTGTTTTTAAATTTTTGTCTAAGTGGCTTTAGAAAAATTTTACTAAATTGTTAAAGGATTTGGAATGATCAAAATTAAAGATATTATTAGACCACAGTTGTCATGGAAGCTTACTCAGTTGTAACATGCAACTTGAAATACCTAAAATGAAGCCAAAGAACATATTAAAATCTTTAGAATTTCTAACTAATTTTAGGGTACTCATGTTATTATTTACATACATGTTAAGATGTTTGAGATTTTTAATTACAAAGCTGCCATCTTGCCCCAATATACCGAGTTGGCCTGATTTTTATATGCTTAGCTATATCCCCAGCTTTTAAGATAGGGGTTCCCTGTTAACTACTGTATACTGTAAATTTGTAGTTTTTTAGTTTTAAATACTTCCTTTAACATAGAATATAAAGAGCCACATGCCACGACATATAAAATCACAAGATCTATAACAAATATTAGATGTAAGTGGCCAGACATAAGAACATATATGTAGTTGATTGACATATCCAACTGGTTCTTTTGACCATCGGAAGTGGCATGAGTAACAACTGGCCCCAGAAACAGGAAAGGACAGCCTTAGGGCAAAAAACCCTGACTTACCTAGAAGTTTCTGGCTCTAAGATCAGCCCATTCAACCTCAATCTTGGCTACGTGGAGATGGATTGAAAAATGGTTGAGAGATGGCAATGCAGAAGGGAATTTCACAGCCTCTGAGACATACTCCATCTCATTTACAAACAAAAGCAAAGTCAGAATTTGGCTTTTGTAAGTCTAATTGGTATATTGTTTATCTTTAAGACCTTGTCTTATGCAGATATGAGTGATTGTTTAAATATCTGTCTTATTTTTAGGAGGAAGATTTTTAGTTTTTAGGGTTTTTTGTTTGGTTGGTTGTATTTCTGTTTGCTTTTTGTATTTTTTCTTCTCTGATGAATTTTTCCTAATGCTTTTAGGACAAAGAATTTTTCTGGGGATGCAATTGTCCTTGACCAGGGAGAGAAGAGGAACTTTATTTTTTAGTAGGTTTTGGGATCCAGAATTGCCCTCATGAGAGAGAGGGCAGCCATCATCTTTTACTGGACGAGAGCAAGGAAGTTTAGATGTCACCATTTTATGTCTGAATTTGTTGTCTACATTTATTGATGAGCTCCTGAGACTTCAAGTCATAAACATTTTTTTTTTAGTTTGGGACAGTAAATATCCAGTTAAATGATGAACTTATTGGCAACAGTCTGTTACGATCAGGATTCCTTATCAGAAAGTGGCTTACTCTCCTTTTTAGGAATCTGTGGGTAAAATATACATCAATTATTCAAAGATGTCCCTTAAAGGTGAGTGAGTTAGTGGGGATGGATAACTAGACAGCTTGGCCCATGTGTCCCAGGCAGGGATGTTTCCTAAGTCAGAGATCCAAGGATTGAGTGTGATGTAATGCCATGATGAACAGGCCCTGTGGTGTCCCGCCAATTCACTGACTTATGCAGGAAATTTGAGTCCTGGACTTATCAGCCCTGTAGCCCAAACAGTCCAGTTCATTTGTGAGGAGGAAAAATGTGTAAGAGTGGCTTATCAAGCAATGTAATAGGAGTCTGAAGACACCATATCTCAATTAAGAACCCACAATCCAGCTTAAGGTAAAAAAGAAGTGTATGAATGTGGAAAAGAGAAAAATGTATATAACTCTGGCACCTGTTTGTGCTGAAGAGGACTAACAAATTGACAGACTTTGAAAGTCACTGGGCAATAACCCCAGCCCAGAAACATCTCAGTTTTCAACCAATTAAATGTATTTCACTTATTCAGGGAAAAGGAGGAGAGAAAGAGAAAGAGAACAGATGTTCATACTGAAGACTGAAAACGGGTTTATTTGGGAGAAGGAAAAGAAAGCAAGCAGGAAAATAAATACCTCTAGCACCACCTTCTGGCCTAGGGGGAATCCATAGATGTCCAGACAGGCTTCTATCAGAGAACTGCCCCATTCCCAATAGTATTTCTGGCCAGCAAAATGGAATCTCCCTCTTCTGGACATGAATAAGAGAGATAGTCTGAAGTTCCATCAGCACGTTTTGGCCATGGGAGAGACCCACAAATCAACCCACAAACCAAGTTTTGGAACTACCAAAGAGTTGTCCTGATCAGGCTTCTTTATTCATGGCCAAATTGCTAAAATCCCCACCCACCGCCCCCCAATCTGGAGATAAAGAGGAAATGAGAAAGAAGGTCTCAGTCCCACATGCCAAAATAAAGGGATGCCTCAACTACACCAGACCTCTATAGAGTCTCAAGTGGTGGGTTTTTCAAGGAATGTAACAGTACCAGTGTATTCTGGCAACAGCAAAACGAATAGTTTGTTAGAAAAAAACTAGATTGACAGAGGAGACCATCCCAGGCTAGAGAGAGGAGGGAGGCCTTTCTAGCAGTTTTGTGGATTTTTTTAATTGTTCTTTTTTTGGAAGTCTCTTTTAGGAATTTTATGTGCATGGGACTTCATATGCTAGAGATGTTCCTACTGACAGTTAAGTAATCGGGAAACCTGTGCTGGGGAGCTCATATTCTTGGGATTCTGCAGCTGATTGTGATCTGAATAGGAAACTTGGACTAAGTTTCTTTTGGTCCCTCTCAAACAGTTAGGTTGTGTCTCAGAGTTTCATCTTTGTGTAAATGGGGCCCTTCCACAAGATTTGAGCCAACCCTGATCATAGCTGGGGAATTGACCACCTAAGTAAGTATGCAACTAATCTGTGGGAGATGGAACTCCTAAGAAATACATTGAATAATAGAAAGATCAGTACATTTCCCAAGATTAAAAACAAGAAAATATTTTGTAAGATTATTGGAGGAGAAGGGAAATGTGGAAGAGGAGTCAGGTAGAAACATGGAATAAGAAAATTATATTAAAAAGTTAAAAAATATAATAAATTGCTATACTTCCTTAATTATTAGATGCCATGGCATTATAGAAGGTATAGTTCATTTAATAATAGCTTTCCAGAGAGGAGGAGATTTAGCTAACCATTTAAAATTCACGTCACATGTATATTCTAACTTGAAAAAAAAATTTTAATGTAAAGGAAAAAATTCACCTTAGAAATTTAGACTTTTTACTTTAACATAGAAAAAAATAGCACATTATTTTTCCAGAAGTATAGCTTTTAAAATATTGGCAGGTGAATTTGAAGAATTTACCCAGGACCAGAGAGGGTCACAGAAAGTGGACAGCCACATGAGGCTTCCTCAAGTCGACTGTCTGTCTCATCCTTTGCCCCATTTATCCTAAGTCTGGTACTTTGTAAACAATTTAATAACTCAGTTCACCCACACCTGTTATGTTCTTCCCAAATTACCTGTCAAGGCAATAGTAGATGATGTTTGGGGAAGGAGGCCCTAGGTTCGCTAGAGTTTCAAATTTCAGGGCTGATTTAATGCTTCCTGAGTAAAATATTGGTGACAATATAAGAACTGTTGCTTTAAAAGAAATTCCTTCCCCCTTTCCTGTTTTTTGTTTTCTTTTTAAACTTTATATAATTTAGCATGCAATGCTGATCTCTCTCTTCCCCCAGAGGAAGATACATCCCATGGAACATTGGAACATTTCTTCTTGCATTGCATCTTTTATAAAATCTCACTACTGTTTCTTGTATAATTATAAAGAGCAAAATTCTTGTTTTGAAATTATATTTCTCTTTGTTTGCAGATTTTGACCAACCCCAACCATCATTTCATTGACAGTTCATTGTATAAAGATGTAATTTTGGTGGCCTGGGATCCTGCTCCTTATTCTGCAAATCTTAATTTGGTAAGAGTTTTATTTGTACCCTTTACCTATCTTTTAGATAATACTTGTAAGTGATTCACAGTAGGAACAAGTAACAGATGCCTCAATAGAAGGAACTTCTCATTTTGCTCATAAAATACATGTAGTTCACTCCATTTTGCTACTCAGTTTCATCAGCTTTCTTGGAAAGCATTGATCATCTAATGCTAAAGTGTTCTTTGTTGTTGTTGTTGTGCTGGGTGGTGTTTACCATACAAAACACAGACTGTGCAATGAGAAATGTTCAGAGATTCCTAGTTACTCTGGAGAATTGGCTGGTTAAACAGAATTTTTTCATTTGGATAGGATTATATGGCATACCAAGTTGTTACAAGACTATTTGAAATGAACTATTAGAAGTACTTGGTAAGAAAGTCTAAACTCAATAATAGCTGGGAATGATCATGCTGGACAAGAGCTGAGGGTTAAAAGTAGGTAAGGGCCAATCAATATTGCAAACGACAGTGCCCAAAAGGAGAGAGAGAGGGGGGCGGAGGGGAAGAGAGAGAGACAGAGAGAGAGAGAGAGAGAGAAAAGAAAAGCACCTATCATAGAGGCAGGCAGGGGATGGGGTGATGGGAGGGAACCTGGGGACACTGGTAATGGGAATGTACACTGGTGGAGGGATGGGTGTTGGAAAACTGTATGACAAAAATCCAATCATGAACAGCTTTGTAAAAAAAAAATTAATGTTACATAAAAGAAAGTCCAGGGGCTGGAGCGATAGCACAGCGGGTAGGGCATTTGCCTTGCATATGGCTGACCCGGGTTTGATTCCCAGCATCCCATATGGTCCTCTGAGCACCGCCAGGAGTAATTCCTGAGTGCAGAGTAACACCTGTGCATTGCTGGGTGTGACCTAAAAGCAAAAAAAAAAAAAAAGGTCCAACCTTTGTGAAACAACAGTTTCTTATTTCAATGCAGTCAGCTTTTTTGAGTCTGACAGTTTGTGACTTCTGCTTCTCATCTTTTTAATCTTCAGTGATATAACATTAGGAAGATCATTACTAGTTCAGTTATAAGCATGGATGGCATTCATAACATTATAGCAAACAGTAGCCTTCTTAAAATCTCCTAAACTATCTACTTTTGGTAAATGGTAAGCCAGTGTATTTGCTCTTTTGAAGAAGGCTGGGAAAGAAGGTTGATAATTCAGTCTTGTGAAAGATGATGTTAGTTGTACCAGTGAGTGTCTTTTGAATTGTAATGCTATGATCCGAAAGAATAGAATTTCAAATGAACATGGAGGAACAGATGTTGCCTCACCAAGAGGCAGCACCTTTCTAAGAGAGTTGCTTGTTGATTGGGCCCCCTGAAAAGACTATCTATCTTATTTCTCTTGAAGTGACATTTGACACAGACCTAGTATGATTGATTGCTCATTGGTTCTAAATCAAGAATACAAATCAAAATCATCTAGAGAATGTTTTCCAAGATATATGTTACAACCCAGTTTCAAGAAATGTAGTGTGATGTTTTTTGTTTGTTTGATTGATTAGGTTTTGATTTGGGGGCCACACCTGGTCATGCTCAGGATCTACCTCTGACTCAGGAGTCACTCCTGGCAGGGCTCAGGGGAGAATATGACAAAAGATGTTCCTTGAATTTTTTAAAACCCCAGAACCCGTTCACCAAAGGAATATTTTTTATTCTTGTAATGCATTCCTACATTCAAGGTGTTTTAAGGAAGCACAGGTGTAAGCATCTCCCTTTAGCTCCTCATAATCTTCTCCTTCTCCTTCTTTTTTATTTTGGTGTTTTGGGTCACACCCGGCAGTACTTGGGGGACCATATGGGATGCTGGGGGTTGATTCCCAGTCAGGATGCATCCAAGGCAAGCATCTTAACTGCTCTACCATCTCCGAATCCCCATATACCTTCTTCAAATCTCAGCTCATGGTGGCACATGAAATACTTTTGCACACATTTTAAAAAATATAGCCTTGGGGCTGAAGTGATAGCACAGTAGATAGGCGTTTGCCTTGCACACGGCTGACCCGGGTTCGATTTCCAGCATCCCATATGGTCCCCCGGGTACCGCCAGGGTTAGTTCCTGAGTGCATGAGCCAGGAGTAAACCCTATGCATCGCCAGGTGTGACCCAAAAAGCAAAAAAAAAAAAGAGAGAAAAAATCGCCTTACTAATTTTTCATAAAATAATTTATGTACAGTAATTTTATGTGTACAATGTATGATATATTAGATGAGTATTAGAAAATTTGTATGACTTTCGTCCATTACCAGAACCAAAAGTAGAATTATTTTTATAGCTATTTGTAAAATTATTTTACCTGAAGAGTTCCTTGCGGGGGCTAGAGCGATAGTACAGAGTGTAGGGCACTTGCCTAACATGCAGCTAACCTAGGTTCTATCTCCACCAATACATATGGTCGCATGAGCTTTGCCAGGAGTGATCTCTAAGCAGAGAGCCAGAAATAAGAACTGAGCACAGCTAGGTGTGGTAAAAAAAATAATTAATTAACCTATTAAAAATGTGGGCTTTCCTGTGCTCCTTCCATGTCACTCTTCCTCTTCCAGACCCAGGTTACAACTAACAAACCTTCTTCGTGTCAGCGTAGGTGAAATTGGGAAGGCATCTTTGAAACATACTAGTTGATTCCAGGACTTAGCATACCAGAGTCATAGGCCAAATCTGATTCTGATTTTGTAAGTGGGATTTTATTGGAAATCAGCTACATCTGTTCATTTTTCCTGTGTCTATCTTTGAATAGAGTCATGTAGTTTCAGCAGAAACTGCATGGTAAAAAATGCCTAAAGTGATTTCCCTCTGACCTATTTGACATTCCTGCAGCCCAAGTCTAACATAGCTTCCCCAACAAGAAGTGATTCTTTCATACCAGCAGCAGGGTGATGCCAGAGATAGAATCACATTCTGTAGGTTAACAGCTACCCATTATTTTTTTCCATAGCGTGATTCTATGAAATTAAATATTGATTTTTTTTCTCCTAGTGGTACAAGAAACCAGATTACAACCTGTTCACTCCATATGTTCAGCATCGTCAGAGAAACCCAAAGCAGCCATTTTACATTCTTCATCCTAAATTTATATGGCAGCTTTGGGATATAATTCAGGAGAACACCAAGGAGAAGATTCAACCCAACCCACCGTCTTCTGGTTTCATTGGTAGGTGCATGTTGAAAATGATCATGTTCTGGCAGACAGGAAGGGATATAAATAATATTTAATTAAATGTTCAGTCATGCTATGTAATAGCAATTTAAAGGTGACTTTAAAGGGAAATTTGATTAATTGAAAAGAAGAGACAACTGTGTTTTGCATTCACTATAATAAAATATCCCCAAGTTTGACATGTAAAGCAAAAGAATTACTTTATTTTTCCCATGATTTTATGGGTCAGGATAGATTTGAATGTGTAGTTCTGTTCTACATGACCAATGTTGGTGAAATGTGTAGCTCAGAGAGGCCATAGATTCATAGTATTTCAACCATCTTTTACCAAGCCACACTTCCTCTGAAGCACACAGATGACCTGAGACCAAGCTAAGGAGCTGAATTTGAGACACGGCATATGTCATGTATTGCATTATTACTGTTATGTCCAAATGTGATGAGACTAATTCTTTGTATAGTTTTTGTCACTAGAACCAAAGTAATGTTACATAACAAGAGCATCATGTTTGGCATATTAAAATTTCTTACTTTGAACCAATTTGTAATCTTACCTCATTTCTTAACCTATGCTTCAGCTCTGTTATTTCTTTAATTTTACCAAAGTAGACTGTTCAAATACCACATTTGGGTTCTGTATTAATAAGATCTAATTGTACCATGATCACGATCATGACCATCCTGTTGTTCGTCGATTGCCTCGAGGAAGCCCCAGTAACAGTCTCCTTCATCCTAGCCCTGAGAATTTTTTTTAAAAAGTGCCATATTCAAGGCTCTTTCAGGATTAGGAGAATGAGACCCATCATTGTTACTGGTATATGGCATATTGGGTATGCCACGGGGAGTTTGCTAGACTCTGCCATGTGGGGAGGTTACATTTGTTACCCTTCCAGTTTGTCCAAAGTAAGAGTGAGATAATAAGATGTTATTATTATCACGCACACTTCCGGGGGCTGGGTTTTATAGTCTCTGGGTCTTGGCCGTTAATGGGATTACACGGCGCCAGGGGGCCAGGTGGTTGGTATAACCCCTGCCTACGGAAATATGGAGGATCTGGGTGGAGGATGCTCAGCCCCAATCCAAGCAGGCTTGGAGATCTCAGCCCCAGGACCGGCATGCCTTGTTGTGCCAAAGAATATTAATTTTTCTCAAGAAAGATCATATTGTCCTATACCCAAATGTCAAGGAATTTAAGCCTGAAGGTGTGTATTCAATAAAAATAATATTATGAGGAGACCTCAATGGTGACTCTCTCCCACCGCTTACATTCGGTAGTTTCCACCGCTTCCCCCATTCCAGGGAGGTTGATGGAGATGGGCAGGCAAAGGAAGGAATGAGGGCCAGGCTGGTTAGTCTCAATTGCCATTTATTCCAATATCATCTCCATTCACTTCTGACTCTCCCTCTGTTTCTCCCTCAAGCGCCCTTCCCCTCTTCCAGTCTTGTTAAATCCCAAATCATGAGGAGTAGGGGTAATAATTACATGTAGGTGTGGTCCTACAATCAACAGAAGTAAAGTCTTTTTCTGAGGGGCAATGCTGCTTCTAGGACAGATTCTCATTCAGTAAAGACAACTCATCCAAGAGCGGAATCCCATGGGTGTGTTTCTCCTTTCCTTAGTCCAGCAAACATATAAACATTCATAATATTAATCATTTTGTATGGACACAGTAAGAGATACATTAAACTTATAGAATTGCTCTCCTGGAGCCATCTGGATCTCAGACTGCAATGCTCAGGCCAGATTAGTCTTTCCTCTCCCTAGCAGGGTCCTAATCTCATTGTTACTTTTGAATCATGACATCATTTGTCCATGACCATGCTCTCAACTTATAGTTTAGTATCTTGGAGCTTTGGCCTGGCCCATTTCGGTGCCTGGGTGGCTCACAGCTTGTCCTGGGTTCATTCAGTTCCTCCTTGGGACCCTGCTTTTGGGGTGCAAGTAACTAAGGGCAACTGAGGCTTAGGTTGAGGAAGCAGAAGCCTGGGAGAGAATAATACTTGAAGCCAATTTAATCCCAAGTTACAAAAGCATAATATTTACTGTCTTCCTGTGTCTATACAAAAAGGACATTGCTTTAAAGTAAACTATTCAAAAGACATAAGAAGAGGAAAAAGGCAATATTAACTTACAATACAAGTTCAGTGTCCTAAAAGATCTGACCTTACAAATTAACAGAATGTGATTAAGGAAAAAGCTGGTTAACTGGTTGGAGAGGGAAGCATAAAGAAGAGGTTACAGATAAACAAAGGAATGGGAGTGACTCGGGGGCACTGTGTTGGATCACAAATCACAATCACAAATCATCCTGTTAATCATCGATTGCCTCGAGCAGGCCCCAGTAACGTCTCCTTTATCCTAGCCCTGAGATTATATTCAAGGCTCTTTAGGAGAATGAGACCCATCATTTTTACTGGTATTTGGCATATTGGGCATGCCACGGGGAGTTTTCCAGACTCTGCCGTGTGTGCAGGCTACATTCGATAGCCTGCCAGTTTGTCCGAAGTAGGAATGAGATAATAAGATGTCATAATAGGATGCGGTTCCGGGAGCTGGTTTTTATAGTCTCTGAGTCTTGGCGGTTAATGGGATTACACGGCGCCAGGGGGCCAGTTGGTGGGTGTGACCCCTGCCTACTGGAATTTGGAGGATCTGGGTGGAGGATGCTCCATCACACTGTGATGGATGTGACTCAATAAACTTTAGCTTCTTGTGGCAAGGGAGAAAGGACAAACCAATGTTAGGCCTAAAATATTAAGAGCTAAATTCCAACATGAAGTTAACATGGACCATGTAGTGGGTTAATTTTCATGAATGAGAGATTTTGGGAGATAAAATTGATTTTATCTGGCTCTGCACTCAGGAATTACTCCTGATACGGTTCAGGGAATCAAGCCTGAGTCAACAATGAGCAAAGCATGTGCCCACCCACTGTATGATTACTCCAGCATGGACTTGCCTAGTTTTTTAATGGGTTTTTGGTATTGTAATAATGTGATAGATTTTGCGTGTACTTAAATGCAAAATTATATTGCAATTGCCTATTATTTTTCTAAGCATAGCCATCTATTGAGTTATTCCTAATCTTTCTTGAGGTACTGTGTTTTAAAGTACTCTTAATGATGGTTCTATGAATATATCGTTCCAAGGCCACACCCATCATTGGAGTCTCCAATTCCCTGCAAGGTCCCAAGGCCCCTCTGCCCTCCACACCCCACCTTAGTTCTGGGGACCAACTATCCATCTCTGCGACCTTTAGCCCTTTGTTGCTCCTTTGCTGCATATCGCTAAATTCCATGAATGAGAAAGAACATTCTGTATCTATCTCTTTTCTTCTGACTGACTCACTCCCTTTTTTTCCAGATAATTGTTTATTTATTCATTTTTTAAAATTTTACTGAGTCACCGTGAGATAGTTACAAGTTTTCATGTTTGGGCTACAATCACACATATATCAAACACCCATCCCTCCACTAGTACACATTCCCCACCACCAATATCCCCCATACACCTCCCATTTCCCGCCCTCCGCTGCTTCCATGGCAGACATGATTCCCCATAATCTCTCTCTACTTTTGGTCATTATGGTTTGCAATACAGACCGTGAGAGGCTATCATGTTTCTTCCTTTATCTACTTTCTGCACACATCTCCCTACCGGTTCCTCCAGTCATCTTTTTTTTTTTTTTTTTTTTTTTAGTGATCCCTTCTCTATTCCAGCTACCTTCTCCCCTTCGCTCATGAGGCAGGCTTTTAGCTATGGAGCAATCTAACTCTCCCGTGTATCTACTATCCTTAGGTGTCAGCCTCATGCTATGTTGTTTTATACTCCACAAATGAGTGCAGTCCTTCTATGTCTGCCCCTCTCTTTCTTACTCATTTCACTTAGCATGATACTCTCCATGTCTACCCAATTATAAGCAAAGTTTATGACTTCATCTCTCCTGACAGCTGCATAGTATTCCATTGTGTAGATGTACCAGAGTTTCTTTAACCAGTCATCTGTTCTAGGGCACTTGGGTTGTTTCCCGATTTTGGCTATTGGAACAGTGCTGCAATGAACATATAGGTACAGATGTCATTTCTACTGTGCTTTTTTGCATCCTTTCGATATATTCTCAGAAGTGGTATATGAAGGCTCAATTTCTAGTTTTTGAAGGACTGTCTATATTGTTTTCCAGAAAGGCTGGACTAGTGGGCATTCCCACCAACAGTGAAAAAGTGTCTCTTTTTCCTCAGATTCATGCTATCACTAGTTGCTTTTGTTCTTTTGAATGTGTGCCAGTCTCTGTGGTGTGAAATGATATCTCATTGTTGTTTTGATTTGCATCTCCCTGATGGCTAGTGATGTGGAGCATTTTTTCACATGCCTTTTGGCCATTTGTATTTCTTATTTGAGGAATCTTCTGTTCATTTATTCTCCCCATTTTTTGATGAGGTTGGAGGTTTTTTCTAGTACAATTCTACTAGTGTCTTATACATCCTGGATATTAATTCCTTATCAGATGGGTATTGGGTAAACATTCTTTCCCATTCTGTGGGCTCTTTCTGTATTTTGGTCACTGTTTCTTTTGAAGTGAAGAAGCTTCTTAGTTTGATATAGTCCCATTTGTTTATGTTTGCTTCCACTTGCATAATCAGTGCTGTTTCATCCTTAAAGACGTTTTTAGCTTCAGTGCCATGGAGAGTTCTACCTACATTTTGCTCTTTGTATGTTATGGATTCATGTCTGATATTGAGGTCTTTAATCCACTTTGACCTGACTTTTGTGCCTGGCATTAGACAGAGGTCAGAGTTCATCTTTTTGCAGGTAGCTATCCAGTTTTCCCAGCACCACTTGTTGAAGAGGCATTCCTTGTTCCACTTTCCACTTCTTGCTCCTTTGTCAAAGATTAAGTGGTCATATATTTGGAGATCTGTGACAGAATATTCAACTCTGCTCCATTGGTCCGCAGGTCTGTTTCTAGTCCAGTACCATGCTGTCTTAATTACTA